ACGTGGGTGCCACCCATGCCGCCCTCACTGTGCGGGCTGTCATGTGACGTCATGTCACTGCTGATTCTGCTAGAGGGATGAGAGTGAACTTGCTGTCCCTCTTATTGTTGAGCCACGCAATTTGCACTCTTCTGCGTTGTCCTGCCGCTGCCTGTGCTTAACTGCTTAGCTGATTTCTCGCTGTCACCACCTGATCATATTTCCTCTCTGGAAACTGCCCCTAAAGCACCCATTTAGGACAGAATATGCATATGTACAATGGTTTTACCTTCTCCATTCTGTGGAGTTCATCGCAATTAGGAAGTAGATTATGCAGTTGTTATCGAGCATGCCGAACACAGTGGCCGCGCGGTCTAAGGCATGAACTGTCTTCGCTCGCTCGAACTCTGAGATCCTGAGTTCGAATCCCACTCAAGGCATGGATGTCTGTGTGTGCGTTTATTCTGTGTGTAGGTAGTGGCCTTGTGACTGACTTATCCCTTATCTAAAGGGTCTTACCTACTGTGCATAGAACTAAGAAACTGAGAAATCTGCCAAGGTCAACGAAGGACTGTATAGACATAGATAAATAATTAGATAGGTTGGTTGGTGCAAATATATGGACTCAAAACGAATTTCCGAAGCCTTCCATCGCTCTTAGACTTTTTAGTTGAGTGGGGTGGGGTCAGATTGAGTCCACTTGGTACATTGGCCACTGTTTGGCCTAATGCACGAACCCCGGATGACAGATGATGAGTGTGGAGCAGTTGGTGGAAAGAGAATTGGCAGAGGAAACCGAAATACTCGGAGAAAACCTGCCCCAGTGCCACCTAATCCACCACAAATCCCACATGACCTGATCTGGGCTTGAATCCGGGCCGCCGCCGTGAGAAACCAGCGACTAAGCGCCTGAGCTATGGCATGGCCACTCCATCGCCTTTCAATTGATCTTTTCTGCTTGAGAGCCAGAACATTTTTCCTTACAAAAGCTACGAAACAGCCCCTCTTTCGTAAAATAATGTTGTGAGTCAACAGAATAGCTCCGAGCCTCATCAAAGCACGGGATCTGTTTCGGTCCACAGGTGGGGGAGTCATCCACTCTATTGGATTCCTTAGAAAGAGCTAACCTCATCAGTGGACACCGTTGTTAAATTTACTGCAGCTATTTATTTTATCCTGTTATCTTACTCCGAGTTAGCCTGGTCTCAAATATTTGAAGAGCCCAGAGAATTATAATAATTATTATTATATTTGAAACCAATGAGAGCAAGCATTTCCTGAATTCGTTTTCTTCATAATCCCTTCACGCACCTATAGGTGTAAGGTAAAGTTACCTCTGTGCTTAATTAATTAAGCATTATGCCATGAAGATATATGGGGGAGTGGAGGTATAGCCCAACCTTTCTTGACCTTGACACTAGATGGAGGTGAATGGTCAGTTTCACGCCACAGCCGCTATACGTCGGAAGAAATCAATCCCGGTACCCATTTTATAGGAGGCTGGGTGGCCCCCAGAGCGGTTATGGACACTGTAGAAGGGAGAAAACATGTGCCGATTTGCCATTGTAATTTGTTGCCGAGTTAGTATTTTCCATTGATTGATATTAAAATGACTGGGTAGTTCGGATAGAAAAGTGGACGACCAGGGTTTGATTCCCAGCAATGGCAGCATTGTTGTTTTCGAGATATAGTCACCATTGACTTTAGTCCTCCAGTTCTCCCGAGCATTGGTTATCCGTGACGTAACAGTCAATGTGAAGGGCACCAATCAACACATTGAGGACTACCTGCAGTCAGTGCGTCCATATGTCGCACGGATGTTACGTGTTTTAGACATTAATATATTTTTTTTTAATTTTGTTCCCTTCCTTTTTGATACAAGCGTAACTGTAATTACTCCAAAATATATGTTGGCTGTATTCATTAATGACACTGAAAACTAGTTTCTGAAGGTTGAAATGCTTATATAAGTCATCGTCAGCAATTGTTCTCGAAAACAATTAATTGTAGAGGGTTATATACGAGTATATGCAATCTGGGAAAATGAATTCAGCTGTAAATTGGAGTGGAGAGGATTGCTAATAATTTCCGCGTGGAGACACACACAATATTGAAATCTGACGGTTGACGGCCATATTAAGAATAAAGGGGAACATATATACATGTGACTGTTATTAAAGCGTAACATTGCTTTCATTAACAAACAGTTTCGCTGCTGTTTAAATTGATTGTTTCATGTCAAAATTTATATGACCCGGAACAAAACGATAATTATTTTCGAAAAGAGTACATCATTTAATTTTAAATTAAATAAAGGTCACCAATATATACGATACACATTTGTTTCTACTATATTCGAATTTGATATTCTCTCACAGTATACAATGCAGAATTAGGTTCAATAGCCTTTTCCTAAACTATTGGTGTGTAGATGGTCTCCCCAGCTTTCCTTATGGAGTCCAGAATCTCTTAATTCCGATGTTTTTTTTCCAGTACGAACTTCTGTTTATCTTCATATTGTATATATATATATATATTGTAGTCAATTCTACTGGCAGTCTTAAATTTCAGAGATAAGTTAATATTTATGTATCACAAATTTATTTCTACGAATGTTCTTTACGGCGAACGAATGTTAAAACTTGACCAGCGTTCTCTGAACTTTAGAAGTTTTAATTACAACTTCAATTAGAATAATTTTTTAAAATAATGTGCATGCAGGTTACTAAGAGTTCCCATTTTTTCATAAGCGGTATGTAACTATACCACGTAAACAGGTAAAGTTGATAATGATGAAAATTAATCATAATAATAATAATAATAATTTAATTCAATTCAATTCTTTATTATTTATGTGCCGAGCCAACAGCCGCAAGGCTAATTACAGGCAGAGCACAATGTAGATAAAAGTAATTACATTATAGACAAACTTATTATAAAGTCAAGGACAAATTACAGGCAAGCACTGGGGAAAACACAATAATGTAGAAAAGTAAACAAACAAACAAATGATAATAATAGCAATAATAATAATAACAACAACAACAACAACAACAACAATAATAATTCAACTCATCTATTTAAGTGCTTGACGGTAGTAATTAAAGCAATTACAGGCAAGCACTGAAAGAACAAGAAGTAAAATTTCGACTAACAGGTAAATCCCTTTGAAAAGATTAATTTTGTTTTTCGATCCCTAGAGCACATACCGTTACTCTCCTGAAAATACAAAAAAGAAAAAAAAATTACGAAAATAAAATTTTGAAGGTAAGATTCCGGAAGTCGTGGCTGATTACTGGATACGAAATTTCGACAATACACTCAGAACATCAGTTTTGTTTAAATATCTCGGAACCTCTAAGGCTCATTTTTTCACACATTTATTATACATAATCTGCTGAATCTGCAATAAGTGTGTGTGTTCAATAAGTACTGAATCATGAATGAGTTATGCCCAGTGGTGTAACTTATGCCCTTTTTTTGTTCACTTACATAGATATCATTTCAGTTCTTGTATTTAGGTTTCACTAGGTTTGCTTAGTAGAGTTAGGACGGTGCATCTTTTCAGTTTATGTGTAGTTTCGTTGTTGTCTTGTAGGTTCATTGCTAGTCTAAGACATGAGAATGAAATGTGAAAGTGCAAATTAATAATTTACATTTAAACTCAGATTGGATGCTATGTGGCCTATACGGTTGAGGCAAAGTCGCCGATAGAACTGAGGAACAAAGAGCAGAACTATAACACAGGGCTATTAAGTGTAGGATAATCTAGTCAAATATGAGATATTCGTGCAAGTGAAGTTTAATTTCCTTATGAATATGCACGAGGCATCACTATATAATGGCCGCTGGCCAGTGAAAATGAAACTTCCGAACTTCTCTTCAGTCTTTTCTTTCAGATATACTCGTACAAACGCTTATCGCTTTCAATAGTGAGGTTTAGAAAAAAAAATATTGCCTTTCTAATGGCATGTTCCCATGTTATATCAACTATTCTCCTGTTAAAAACACATGAACAATTATTTTGTAACTTGTAAGGAAGATTATGTAGCTTTCTTCTCATTGACATATAACTAGGTTCAGGGAAGAGCCTTTCTCGAGAAGATTATAGTTGCTCAACTGGTAAAGAAATTCTACATCTTCCGCGGAGCCTGAATTATCTTATTATGTTTAGATTAACCTGCCACTGATCTGCCTGTTAAAACCCACTCAAAATCTCTCACCATATTTCCTTAAGATAAATTTTAATCTTATCTTAACTTTTAAACTCTCTTTCATTCCTAGACTTCTTGAGTCGTCTTTCCCTTCAGTATTTCCGATAAAAATTCTGTAAGAATTTCTCGTTCCTCCCTCAAGCATGTTACATATCACCTCAAAAGCATCCTTATTGTTTCGAACATCTTAATGATATTGGGCGAAGCGCTCAAATTATGAAAATTTGAATAATGCAATTAATCCATCCGTCAGTTACTTCCTGTTGCTTAGCTCATACTTTCTCGTGACTTTGTTCTCAAATATCCTTAATTTGTGTTCTTCTCTTACTGTGAGAGACCAAGTTTCGCCACCCAGTGGCAACTGAACAGGAAATATACTCAGATTATGATACAGTAAAGTAAAGGTTGTCCTGTGCTTAAGTAATTAAGCACTGTGCCATGAAGGCGTACGGTGGAGTGGATATATAGATCCACATTTGCTTGACCTCGGCCCTAGTTGGAGGTGAGTGGTCAGCTTCATGCCTCGGCCACTTTACCCCCGTGGAAACAGCCCCCGGTACCCATTGTATAGGAGGTTGGGTGGACCCCAGGCCCGGCCTGGACTATTTAGAGAAGAGAAATTTCATACGCTACCGGGATTCGAACTCCGACATCTCCGCTCTCCAGCCTGTAGCCAGTCGCTATACAGACTACGTTATCTGATCAGGATATTATAATATCCTTAAATAAGTATCTCTTTTATAATATTTAAAGGATTAACCAACCGAGATAAGGAAGCTCATTAATAGGTATCTTTTTTTGTTACAGATGATAGCCAATCAACTGGCAGCACTTTCTCCGTGAGCCCAGCTGGTTATGACGTCAAACCCAGAAGAGAAACAGTGGGTCCAGTCGCCGCCCTACATTCTTATCCTAAGTCCCTGGTTCTTCTGTCACCACCCTCTGTCAACCCTGTCTTCCCTCTTCCTGACTCTAGTTCTTGTCCTGAGTGTTGTAACTGCGTCCCAACTTGTGGAAACAGGGGACACCTTCCTCAGAAACACTGCTCTCCCTTACCCCTACTTGTACACTACAGGAAGAAACATGCCCTCAGAGTCATCCTCTAAAGCACAACAAAGAAATCTCAAAGAGACGTTAAGGAGAACGTTGCTTTCAGAGTCTAGCCCTATTTTGCACTCTTCTTCGCCTTATTTACTCAACAAAGGAAATACAGTGCCGTTTGAAAATATCAATACTCAGAAACAGGTTAGCAGTATGGCTGCAGAAGTAGCGTCAATCACAAAACCTTCTGTTCATCAGACACAGTTAACATCATCGGACATTTCGGAGGTCTTCGAAGGAACTAAATATTTCACACATGATTTTAATTTTAAAAAAGATATAAATTACTCAGAAATGCAAGATAAAGCCACTGTTATTTCAGTTCCTGCCGAAAATGATGTTCCCAAACTTTTAAACAATCATATGTCTTCATTACCTTCTAAAAATATCTTCAAACCAGGTTATGTTTCATCACAAATGTTTCCGTCGGAAGTAACCGTGACTCCGTCACATACTTCTTTGTTTTTAGAGTCTTCAATAGATTTCAGTTCAGCACCGTATCCTCGTGAAGTACAGAGTTCAGAATTTCTACATGAAAATCCCTCTCCTTCGCCAGAAGAAGTTTTGTGTAAAAAGTTGGAGGAAGACACTATTGAAGCAGCTGGCAGTAACACAGATCTGAATTCAATAAACTCTTCAAATTTGTCATTGTCACTTGCGTCATATGCGTCTTCAGATATGACATCACTTACCGAAACTGAATCCGAGGGACGGTTTGAATATTCCACATCTTCGGTATCTGTTCACATTTCACAATTATCTGAGAATGAAAGAAGAAACTCCTCAAAAACAAACGCAGTATCTAAGAGTCTCTTTTTGGCCAATATCTCGTTATTATCGGAGCCAACGAAGAATTTACAGAGCCCATCTTCCGAAAAAACTTCATTCGATTCTGTAAATATGTCCGAATCAGCTCGCTGGAGTTCGGCGCCTTTCAAGAACCAAATATATCGGACAAACATACACAAAAACTCTTCTGTCAGTACCCCACGGACATTGACTCAAATGAAATCATTATCTCTTGTGAGTACTGATAAAATGATTACGTCCAAAATTTCATCTTCGTTAACACAACGGTCAGTATCTCAAGGGAATGATTCCTCAGACCATCTGGAGCGAATTACTGTGCTGGGATTATTTGAGATGACGACACGGACCGGAGAGAGAGCGGAGGGCCACAGCGAGCTGGCAGCTGCTCGTCTTGCTGTCAGCCACATCAACGAGAGACGCCTTCTTCCTGGCTACCAACTGGAACTGATCACAAACGACACCAAGGTAACCAGCGCACTATCATTCATCTTATGCAGTGAAACTTGTTATTGCTACTAAGTTGTAAGATTTGAGGTTTTCACGGTGGTGACTATGAAGAAACCAGCCTTCTGAGATGTGGCGCCGTGTAGATATTGTGTTAACCGACGTTTCGGAGGAACATATTGCCTCCATCTTCAGGGTAAAAAAGAAGAAAATCCGCAAACGAAGAACTAGCGTGAGCAGGTGCTAATACAATAGCACAATACAATTAGCACCTGCTCACGCTGGTTCTTCGCTTGCGGATTTTCTTCTTTTCCTTCTACCCTGAAGATGGAGGCAATATGTTCCTCCGAAACGTCGGTTAACATAATATCTACACGGCGCCACATCCCAGAAAACTGCTTTCTTAAAATAGTAAGTCAACATTAAGGAAGATTCTTGAAGTACAAGTGCCCGAAAATTTTAAATAACATAAATCACATTATCACATAATATCCAAAACAAGTTTAGTAAACGCGTTAAAGCACAGCGGTAATCATATGTACCACATTCTGTAACGATGAAAACAGTGTATTTATGAGCTTCGAATGTTTGTCAGTATGAACAGTACTTTCTTTTTCCAAGCAACGTTAACCGGTTAGTGAAGTACTGTGATTTGTATGAGGTATAATTTGAATTTTCGTATATTAATTTTATGGATTTCATGCTTCAGCGGGTTAAACAGCTGCATTAACTGAAGGAGTCACAACAGATAACATACTTCTATCAGAGAACGAAGAAATATAAGGCCCTAGCTCGACTTCACTCTCCCCCTCCATTTCCAGCACATGCTCATGACGTAGCAGGCCTATGTATATTCAGGGAGAATTTACTTCAACTTTGCACCGAAAATGATCGGGTTCTCTACAGACTCGAATAACAGCACGTCAGACACTCCAGAGCAAAATGGCTTCAACAGTTGGTGTGTCTGATGTAGTGGTGACCACCACGATAATGATGCTAATGAAGAAAATAATAATAATGATGATAACAACATACATCAATAGTCTGCTTTACTGCCCGACGTCTATGGCACCACAAAAAAAAAATACAAACTGACATTTGGGCATGAGGTTGGGAGCACCAGACCAGACCAGACCAGACCACACCAGAGGCCAAGGGATAGGGGGACGGAAAGGAAATCGGTAAATCGTTGCTGAACTGCTGCTGCTGATACTAGTTGTGATGTCGCATTAGCACCACCAGTATTAATGCTGACAGCTCGTGAGAATTTAGAAATGTTTTAAAACGGATCTGTTTCAGATTACAGAAATCTTTATAGGGATATCGTAAAATCAAAATAGCTTTACTTTTCAGTAGATTACATAATGAGAAAATTAGTAATTTATACGCTTCTTCTGGTATTATCGGGGTCAATCGACAGTAGGAGTACGAGGTAAACGGTACATGTAGCATGCAGGGGGAGAACTGACGTGTACTTGCAAGGAGATAAATCTCGAGACACAGAACTTGAAGATTTTGACTGGATATGTTTGACTAAAGATGAATCACAATTGTGAGCTGCTGTGAACACGATAATGGATCTTCAAGTTGCATAAGAAAGTGAAATTTTTAATAGCTGAGCGAATGTTCACCAGTGAGAGACCACTCTAATCCATTCTAATTCATTCTAATCCAGGGAATTTATTTCCAAATTAGTCCTGTGTCTATTGCTAGGCATTTCACAGAAAAAACATAAAGTGTACATGCAAAGTTGAGTCATCCTAATCATATTCTAAAGCAAAACTTTAGAGACGCAGTAAATAGGGAGTAGGGATTCTCTCTGTGCATTTCATGGAAGCCTCTCATCCACTCCCGGAGGAAATGAAAAAGTTCTGTTCAGGAAAAACAGTTAATTTTTCCTAAACGACACTCGTCTACCCGGGCCCCCGATAGGAAGAACGTGGGGCTGCTTCCTTGCTTTCCACTTCCCATCCGTTGGAGTCCTGAAAGGGCCATTATCTTAGTGAGACTCAGTTCAGACTTCCCCTCATTGAGAAGAATTTACTATAACAGTGGTCCTATTTTTTTTTTTCATTTCTCTCGCATTTCCACAGTAGATCCCTGGAGTAGTCGGTTCATTCTCCCTACTCCTTTTCCCATCTGTGACTCTAAACCAGTGTGCCTTTATAGGGGCTCTTTTTGGTCAGTTTCTTCCCCTTGGTTCGGATAGGACTCAGTTTTTTGCACCTTCCACATGTGTCCCATGATCACTTTCCTTCTCCCGATGCCAAGATGGATTGCCTATCAATCGTAATGTGATTTTGATTTAACACTGTTCTTGTAACTTCCTCAAACTAAGAAGTCTATTTCTGAAACTATACACGTCAACCTAAAAGTCTGAGGCAGCAATTTCCAACGGAACCCCTGTACCCGTCACCGACAGTGCGCAGTTTTAATTTAATTTTAATTTTAATTTAAGTACAAGTTGTTGGAGGGTACTTGGAAGTTTATTGGTATATGTTTACGTTTCTTCAGACTATTTTATTACTTATTTAGAGCCATAGTTTCTTCTGTCTCTATGAAATCAACAAGTTCCTTGCAAAGAAGCATAGTGATCACTAAAACAAATTTAATTTTATTGTAAAGCGTTCCAACGAGGGGGAAGGATTACATTTGGGTGTGTCCATCGTCTAACCTTCTGAAGAGGCCATGGCGCTTCGGAAATAGATCCAGCTGCCGGTACATTATGTTCCTTTTAAAATATTAGACGATAGACAATTTCAAGGCACTCAGCAATCCGGGAGTTTCATTCTGTATTTATAGCTAGATTTTGGTATATTTTAGTTTTTAATGATTTAAAGTCTAGTCTAATACATATTTTAAAATATTGCACCTAAAAATATTTTATTACAGGAATCTTGCCACAAGAGGATCATGTTTTATTAAAACAAGTCCATAGTGCAATTAATTAGCAATTAAAGATCTATATTAAGTGACTTATTTACATGAATCATTTTCAAAACAGTCGGAATTCATTATATTTCAATGAACAGTTTTTAAGATAAATAGTGCCGGAGTCTCTAACGGGGGTGGGAATTTATAATTTTCAAAAAAAAAAAAAATCACGCATAATAATGCATATAATTAATTTGAAATAACGAACAAGAATTTTTTCCCACATTCTGAATATAATCAAGTGCTGAATTATTTGGAATATAATATATTGGTTGATTAAGTGTCTCAAATATGTTACTAGTTGCTTTGCTCCAAATATTTATGTTCTTTCCTGTCAGTATTCGTTTCTGAAATGTTTACAGTGTGCATTCTTATATTATAAGTTCTGTGTGTATTGTACATATTTACATGGTTCATATTCTGTATAAAGTAATTGATAATACCTTAGTTGCTATTGTTTGAATTCGTTGTTTAAGGCCCCGTTTAAGAAAAATTTGCACTGAAAATAATACCAACATAAAACGCGAAAAAATAACGGGACTTTTTTCCATCACTAAATATGACATTGGCTATTCTGTTGGCGCTGTAACTTACGTTGTTAATCCCAGAACGCAGTAATATCGTTTGTTGTCGTATAGGGTCTATAGACTGTTGTAAAATGTTTTGGAGAAATTGTCTGAAACTTTGCTAGAAAGGAGATTTGCATTCTGCGGAACATATGTAATATATTACGTACATATATATAAAAAAAGTCAATGCTTACATTTGTTTTAAAATACGTATGTTAAAACCAAATGTACTAAACTTTTGCGGGGAAGAGAGCGGGCGCTGGGATTTTGACTCACCACATGGGACCTGCAAACCGAGAGAGTTCAAGAACTACTACGTGACCGGGTGACACAAAATGTGGAACAAGTTTGCTAGAACATCTCTCAACATGTTTATGCACGTTGTCCATTCAACTGAGTTATTATTCGACATATGGTTTGAAAATGAAATGCGGTTTTGCCAGTAAAGGTGTTTTCTATATGCATGTATACCGATTTGAAAATGGATTCTATATTAAACGATCATCTGTGTATTATAATAGAACCGTTTTATAGATACATGCAATGCTGAAGTATGAGTGCACATTGTCACGTGTTAGTGACTAAATATGTGGTTTGGACTGATAACTGGATTTATTGAACACTTAGAACTCGTAACTACAGGTGAGTATAAAAGTTTTAGGGATATACGTACTCTACAAATCACTGTGCTGTAGTACATATAAAGTCTCTGTCTTCATTAATCGTTACCTGGTAACGGCTCTTAACAAAAAGTACTTTTTTTCTTTCGTGCTCACGTCCTTACCGACTGTCGAATGTCTCAACTAACTCATGATCGGTCGGTCAAATTTCTGCTCGCCCTTGCCATCACAGTAATTCCGTGTTTTGTGTCCCGTCGGAATCCATGAGCAAGACATTTGTTCTCTCCTAGACAACATGTACGTGTTTGGATATGAGGGATATTCTTGAGTGGCTGTAGAAGTAGCAGCTTTTCAAGGAGGGCTCACTTCCATGAATGAGGGAGTGAGTTAACAAAAACAGTGCGTTGTTGACGTTTTGCAAGGAAGCGTACCTATCGGAAGGTACATGCCAGAATTTGAACCTAGAAAAACCAAAGAAAATTACAAGCGATTGTATATTTTCAATGTTCATTGTGTGTTCTTCTAGCAAAAACTGTCATGCTAGATGCGCTTCAGCTGCTGCTATTGTTTTCAGGGACGTTGATATATTCGGAATCAAAGCTGTCACTATTAATCGTATTTTATAATCGCAATTATTAATTATTAAATTATTAATTATATTCACCATATTTATGTCATATCACCGCACTATGGTTGGCGTAATCATAATAACTACATTTCTATTGCGAAAATAATATACATTGCGATTTCTGTATTTTTCTGTATGTGCTATCTTTGGAGAAAGCAGTCTTCTGGGATTTGGCACCGTGTATATGTAGTGTTAACCGACGTTTCGGAGGAACGGATCGCCTCCTACCTGTTCTCGCGGTCACTTCGCTTGCGGATTTCTCATATTTTT